TCCCAGCTTCCCAGCTCCAGAGGGGAGGCAGGAAGACGAGCGTCGAGACCCGCAGCTGGGCCAGGAAATACGTGGAGATGAGCTGTTAACATTGGCTTGTGATCATAAGTAACGTTCAAATGGAAAAGCTAGTAAATAATAAAATAAACTGGTTGTGATTGCAAGCCAAAATTAACAACCCTATACCCAGGAAGGCCCTTAGAAAGCTGTGGGCATGATGAAATCCACTCTTCAGCTTCTCCTTTAATAAAATGTAATGAATTATTCAGAAGCTCAGAAAAATCACTATGTCACGCAGAAAATGATACCAGATGATTTCCTCAGCATATTAAGCATCTCTCAAGTTGCAGGAGTAAATCGTGCAGGCTATCGGAACGCTCCTGCATAGCCAGAAAAAGCAAAAAAACCTCGTCACAGAAAGGATGCTGTACCTCCACCACCCCCCCAATTCACTGCACGTCGAAATTCTGCCTTTCCATATCCTGCCACCACATCACCTCGCTCATTTAAGGACTATTCTGTGGCATAAACCACTTTGTATGAACACGGCACCACTTCAAATAAAAACAACAAAGGGGCTTATTCTGAGTTATCAAAGCTATTTGGTCTCAAAACCACTTCACTCTGCAGAATCAGGAACCTACTTTCACTTTGAACACGCCGCCTGCCGCCCCCGAGGGACCCACAACTTTCGAACAACATTATTTAACAGTCGGGCAGCGGGTAAAGCAAAGCCCTCCTTACACCCTGCACACCACCGATGCACCACGCGGCTCCGGACGCTGCTGGGAGATGGGAGTTTAAATACTGCCCAAAATATTTTAATGGAAGAATTTTCCCCTTAAGTTTCTAATCCTAAATGTAAGAAAGCAGTATTTGAGTGATTTTATCCCCCCCCCCTTTTTTTTTTTTAAAAAAAAGGTGAATCCACTTTTTATAAAAGTGATAAATGTGATTCTGCCCCTCTACTCTGCTCTTGTGAGACCCCACCTGGAATACTGCACTGTGTTCAGCTCTGGAGTCCTCAGCACAAGAAGGACATGGAGCTGCTGGAGCAGGGCCAGAGGAGGCCACGGAGATGATCCGAGGGCTGAAGCACCTCTGCTATGGAGACAGGCTGGGAGAGTTGGGGCTGCTCAGCCTGAAGAAGAGAAGGCTCCAGGGTGATCTTACAGCAGCCTCCCAATGCCTAAAGGGGCTTCAGGAAAGCTGGAGAGGGGTTTTGGACAAGGGTGTGTAGTGACAGAACAGGGGGCAACGGCTTTGAACTGAAAGAGGGGAGATTTGGATGAGCTCTAAGGAAGAAATTCTTCCCTCTGAGGGTGCTGAGGCACTGGAACAGGTTGCCCAGAGAAGCTGTGGCTGCCCCATCCCTGGAAGTGTTCAAGGCCAGGTTGGATGGGGCTTTGAGCCACCTGGTGTAGTGGAAGGTGTCCCTGCCCATGGCAGGGGGGTTGGAACTGGATGATCTTTGAGGTCCCTTCCAACCCAAGAGTCTATGATTCTATTAAAACTGCTGAAACTTGGGCTCACAGAATGAATTTCAGCCATACTACAAAAGGGAGCCATATAGGTTCTGATTAAAATGTAAAAAGGATACGCAGCTTCAAAGCAATTTTCGAAGAAGCCTATTTACACATAAAACTGGGGAACAACTGTGTTAGGAGCACAGAATGAACCTATGAGTTGCATGCAATACTGAGCAATCAAAGGTCATACAAGAAAGGTTGCAAGCCTACAAATATTAAAGGCTTAAACCCATAAAAAGTACAACCAACTTGCAGACGTGTAGGTGGAGGAAGCACGCGTAGGGAGAGCGACACTTCAGACAATGCTTTCGCTGCTTCTAAAGAAAAACCACATTTCTTCACATTATCTGTACTAAAAATAGAGCAGTTTACAGCACAATCATCTGCCCCAACCCCGACTCAAAAGATGCCTTGAAATCAGCACAGATGAAGGTTAATGACTTTAAATTGCATGTCCTTAGTTTGCCCGCAGAGAGGGACCAGCTTGACAGCCTGCCTATCTCATAGTTTAGTCCAACCTGTGCCAAGGACGTACCGTTTGACTTCTGGCGAGTGTCCAGCAGAAGCAGGCACTGATGTAAAAGAAAAACACTGCTTCTTCCAGCTTGTGTATAGTAAGTGAAGTGGCTGGACAGCCACTTCTGTGCACGGAGGCTCCCTGTTCACTCCCGACCCCTGCACGGCCTCCAGCTGTTCGCCTGCTATCACCAAACAGATGTGCACTTCACCGCTCCTCCTTCTGCTGGATGCTTCTGGTGGCTCCCACGAAAGGACAGAAGAGGCACTTCGGGGCACTCCACAACCAGCAATGACCCTGCCGCTCCTGGTCAGTGGCCTAGTTTTTATTTTAAGTTATTTTTAACGAGTTTAATTGCTGCCCATAGAAAAGTTGTCGATATTAGCTCTGAAAACTGACAGACGCTGGTCTAATTCACTTTGCTGTACGTTGGTAAATCTAGAAGCATTGCAGGCACAAGGGTGATTTGTCTACAGACACAAAGACAGCACTGTATTGATTTATTACTTAGTGAACATCTGGAAGTTCCCCAGATGTTCCCACTCTTCCCAGATAGCCATAAGGACCAGAAAATTCCTTTAAAAAACCCACCCATGCCTCAATTCACAAATCCGTGGCATTTGCCACAGGAGTCTTGGGCACACCGTAAGGAAAAAGAGGAGGAAGGGTCAGAGCTTGGGGCTTTCCTGCAGCTCACCTACTTCTTGCAAGAAAAGTGAATACTATGAAAAAAGAGATTACAATAGTCAACGTTCAACACTAAAAATGCATTAATTTATGAGCCACCCATTATTTTCTTTCTTTCTTATGATACAACCTTTCGAGACAGGAACAGAATATTTTTTGTTTGTTTGTTTCTGTTTACTAAACACTTGTACTAGATCTCACTTCCAGTTTGGTATGGTAAGAAGTGCTCACAACCTTAATATAGCTGACAAGACACCAAGACAAAATTATTCCTCCAAAAGCACATGGCACCGAAACACCATGCACCTTACACCAGCGTCACAGATATTTGCACACTCCCATCGCAACACAAGGCTCCAACTTCACACCAGACAGCTCCCAAAACTTAAATTTTCTTTTCCATAAAACAAGCCTTCTCTCAAACTACTGTTAGAGAAACTGTAAGTTAAGAAAAAAATTATAACTGT